TTTAGCAAGATCATACTGTCAAAAGAGGAACCTTTTTGTCTCCCCCTAAACAAATATACATATATCTTTAGTATGATAGGTTATTGTTGAATCAATAAGCCCATAGCTAACATGTGAAACCTATTTTCCATAGCCAGATTATATGCAAATATTAACAATGTGTAATTTGTAGTGCTGCTACCACCATTAATAACTCACAATTAACTGTTTAAATGTCAGCTCTGAATGGTCAGGGGTTACCTTTGTCCTAGCAATAAAGAATGATCATGCGTGATTGCACACTATTCCTGTTTACATGTTGGTGCAGAATGGTCACCTGGGCCCTATTAAGGACTCTGGGTGGCAGGGGCCACCAGTATCCTATCAAGCAAGAGCACTAGGCATCAGGAGCTGTCTGCATCTGAGCAACCAATGACCCTAGGCGGCAGGGGGCACTTGCATCCTAGCAACCAAGGATGCTAGACAGCAGGAATCACCTGCATCCTAACAATAAAGAGTGCTAGGCAGCAGGATCTGTCTGCATTCTACCAAACCAAGGACCCTAGGCAGCAGGAGCCTCTGTGTCTTAGTAACCAAGGATGCTAGGCAGGAGGAGCTGCCTGCATCCTAGCAACCAAGGACCCTAGGCAGCAGGGGTCCATTAATCCCTTGACACCGACGTAACACAAATACGTGGCCTCACAGAACTGGGCTTTTTTTCATGGGGCCGCATATTTGCGTACCTGTCTGAGCACGGCACGCTCCCAGCGCAAAGACCGCGGTGTCACTGAGAGCACCGGGTCCCGTTCTAATGATCAGACCGATTCCGGGTCACATGATTGGCTATCACAGTGATCAGTCACTGTACAGCCCAGCCCCCTTGTTTTTTGTTTGTAGAAAAAAAAAAAAAAGAAAAGATAAATAAATGTTAAAAAATAAAAGAAAAAATAAAGAAAAAATACCTAGATCAAGGTTTGATCTAGTTCAGTGCCAGGGTTTGTGTTTGGTCAAGGTCAGGGTCAAAGGTCAAGGTCAAAAGGTCAGGGTCAAAGGTCAGGATTTTAAAAAAAATGGTATCAGTGTCAGTTAGTTAGTGTCAATGTCAGTGTCAGTGTGTTTTACGTAAAAAAAGACAAAAACAAAATGTGCACTATTGTTTCTGGGCTGCACTGTGGTTACAAACAACAAATAACATACACATATATGGTATCGCTGCGATCATCAAGAATTGTAGAATTTATTTTGGGTTGTACTTTGGAGGTAGGTTATGGTAGTAATGAGAAACACACAGCTAAATAAAAACAAAGATTTGTTTTTTTACTATTTTGGGCCAGTTTTCCTTGGATAATAAAAAAAAAATCAGGAGATATCCATTACCATTTACCACCAAATGAAAGCACAATTTGTCCTGAAAAAAACAAGGTATAATTCACCTGGATGTAAAAAGTAGTTGTGATGATATGTGCGGCTTTACTAACACATGTCAGCGTTGCAAAATTGTGCTTAGGCATTTAGATTTGTTTTACCCTTAAGCGTGAACGGGCTAATAGTGTGCACTCAGTGGTGCAAAGAATGCTACACATTGTTGATATTTACATGTCGGATGGCAGCAACCAATAGGACCCATGTACACCGTACCACTGAATGTAAATATATACAAATGATATGTGCATACAGGGGCAGCATAGTGGCTAAATGGTTAGCACTTCTGCCTGGCAGTACTAGGGTTGTTGGTTCAAATCCCAACCATGGCACCACCTACCTGGAGTTTGCATGTTCTCCCTGTGTCTGCATGGGTTTCCTCCAACACTCCAAAGACATGCTGGTAGGTTAATTGGATCCTGTCTAAATTGGCCCTAATACGTGTGTATGTATGAATGTAAGTTAGGGACCTTAGATTGTACACCCCTTGAAGGTTAGGGACTGATGTAATGTACAATATATATGTGTAAAGCGCTGCGTAAATTGACAGCGCTATACAAGTACCTGAAATAAATAAATAAATTGGCCCTAGTATGGATATGTATGAATGTAAGTGAGGGACCTTAGATTGTACACCCCTTGAGGGTTAAGCACTGATGTGAATGTACAACATATATGACAGAAACAATTGAGTACTGTCTGTGATACTTTTTTTATTTGCACTAACATACAATTTTGAGGACAAGCTTTCGGGGAATGTCCCCTTCTTCAGGTCCAAGCAGTACTGATCACAAAGTTTGAGCAGAATGTTAGAAGAGATGTAGGGGATGAAAAATAAAAAAAAAGAGAACAGAGGTAAGACACAGCAAAAGAAAAGTCTGTGGGGGGGGGGGGGGGGGGGGGGGGGGGGGGGGGGGGGGGAGAAAACACTCACAGAGGCAGTCATGCTTGAGGTGATAGTCATAAAGCTGTTGGATAATGAGAGAGGAATCCCATGTCCAAATTCAGGCTGTTATCTTTTGTGTCAAATAGAATTATCATTCTTAGTTCAAAAGTTTTTCTTTTCTCAATGGATTTGAAATTTCCTTTAAGAACTAAAATATTGAGGTCTTCCATAGTGTGGTCTGGTTGTGCGAAATATTGTCCCACAGGTGTGCAAAAGTTATCTTTTATATGTTCCTTGATGGTATGTCTGTGCAAATTCATCCTTGTTTGCAATGTCTGTCCTGTTTCGCCAACATAAGATCCTTTGCTACATTTTCTGCACTGCATAAGGTACACAACATTACTAGAGGTGCAGCTGTATGATCCAGAAATATTGAAGATCCCTTTTGAGTGTCTGACACTTTTTGATGGATTGATTTGGTTGCACAGCTTGCAGCGTTTTTTATCGCAGGGTTCGCTTCCATTATTTGTGACATCATAATCAGAAGGAAATTTCCTACTGATTAGTTTATTTCTAAAGTTGGGGAGTTGTCTGAAGGCCAGTATTGGGGGTTGCTGGAATATTTCTTTCAGAGTTCCATCCTCTGTTATGATGGGTTGTAAATCTTTGATTATTTTTCTTATTCCTTCTAGTGCTGGGTTGTATGTGGTTACTAGAGGTACAAGGTTGTTTGCTTTTTTCTCCTTGTACTGAAGTAGATTTTCTCTTCGGGTTCTCAAGGCTGTGTTTATGCCGGTGTTGATAGTTTTGTCCTTGTAACCTTTCTTATGGAAGGCGTCTGCTAGTGTCCCGAGATGTTTATTTCTGTCTCTTGGGTCAGAACATATTCGGTGGTATCTAATGGCCTGACTGTGTATGATGGCACGTTTCGTGTGTTGGGGGTGGAAGCTGGAACTGTGGAGGTAGTTGCATCTGTCATTGGGTTTCCTGTATATTGAGGTGTGAAGCGTAGCATCCCTGATGTATACTGCTGTGTCTAGGAAGTTTACATGTGTGTTTGAGTATTCCATTTTTAGTTTGATTGATGGATGAAAAGTGTTCATCAATGAGTAAAATTGTTATAGGTATTCTTCACCTTCTGTCCATATGATGAAAATATCATCAATATAGCGATAGTATCTGTATAGTTTTTGTTCCATGCTGTTCAGGAATTTTTCCTCCAGGTCAGCCATAAATAAATTGGCATATTTGGATGCTATTTTACTTCCCATCGCAGTACCCATACATTGAAGATACAGTAGATGTCTTTATTGAAAGTAAAGCAGTTGTGTGTAAGTATGAATTCAATGAGCTGTGTAACATCCTCAGCAGTGTATTTGTGGTTTGGTGAGGATGATAAGGATCTGTGACATGCAGCTAATCCATCCTTGTGAGGGATATTACTATACAGGGATACTACATCCATAGTTACTAGAAGTGTATTAGATGGTAATTGCTGTATGTTGTTGATCTTGTTCAGAAAGTCAGTTGTGTCTTGCAGGAAACTAGCAGTATTCATGACTAACGGTTTTACAATTTTTTCTACAAAGCCTGGGATTTGCTCGGTGAGTGTATTCATACCTGTTATGATGGGTCTGCCTGGATTTCCTGGCTTGTGGATTTTGGGCAGCATGTAGAAGTCCCCAATTTCTGGATGATCCGGAATCGCATTTATAAGTTCTGAATGTAGGTGGGCTGGAAGTGTTTTAATGAGACCTTTTAATTGCTTTGTAAAGTCCTGGGTTGGATCATAATCCAGTTTCTTATAGTAGATGGCATTTTCCAGCTGCCTCTGGCCTTCTTGTATGTATTTGTTTGTATCCATCACAACAACTGCTCCCCCTTTATCCTCTGGTTTAATGGTGATGGCCTGATTATTGCGCAAATCGTGTATAGCCCTTCGCTCTAGTAGTGAAAGATTGTACAGAATTTTCTTTTGCTGGGTGGATATCAGGGATGTAGCTCGCAATCTGAAACTGTCAATATATGTGTACAGTTTGGGGTTGCGTCCTTGTGGAGGTGTGAAGCAGCTGTTCTTTTCCTTTGTGTAGCACTCCATTGTCCTACAATATATATGTAAATTGCTGTGGAAATTGATGGTGCTATGTAAGTACCTGGAATAAATAATAAATAACTAAAAATGTAGGATCTTGCAGCCGACAAGGTGATATAGTTAACACTCTTCTGAATGAGCCCTAAAAGTAATATGTACTGGTTTCAATGTGCTCTCTACATTTGTTGTCTTGCTTCTTGATATTATCAGAAGCAAAAGTATAGTCATATATACCCCATCTAACAATTGTATGTATTTATTCAATGAATCCTTGAATGCACAGTATTTTGATTAATACTCCAGTCCATCTCTACATTAGCCTGCCTAATGCAGTTTCCTGCACAGAGATATTTAAGGGAGAATAAAAAAGGGCCAGCACTGTTAGCCAATCAGACTTTACTATATGGCATGGTGTATAGGTACCTGGCTGATGTGTTGTGTCTGTGTGGCTCATTGTAACCAAGCCAGTCAGGATGAAACTGCTGTGAAAGACTTCTGCTGTGTTTTAAAATTACTGCTTTTTATCATATCTATAATGTGGTACTTATTATTTTTTTTATAATCACCATACATCAATTAGCCTATAGAAATATAATATAAACGTTCCATACAGGGGCGGACTGACAATAGGGGATCATGGGGCCCCTGTGTCCTTGACCAAACTCAAAAAAGTCTATGAAAAAGGTACCAGGGACATCTCATAGGGCCCTCTACTGACCCTGGGTTCTTGGGCAGTGCCCGAGTTTCTAAATGGTCAATCCGCCCCTGGTTCCATATTATCCCAGGCTTATGACATCATAGCAGTCTCACTGAGTAAATACATTATTGTGGTGTAAATTATGAACAAATGTCAGGGATCTGAGTATCCACAAGTCATATTACTTTTCTGGTGATTCAAGGCTGGGGCTCTTTGGGCACTGTTAATGAAAATAAGAGGATTGATGGCATCAGTAACAAAATGTTGCCTTTATTCAAACCAGTAACATATGCAAAATAGAAGACAAAAGATCAGGATGAAGATACAAAGTTGACGTCCATTACTAAGATACATTTATTACATTGCCTTTTAATCATTTGCTTCTAGAATGTGTTCTTAGATCTTCAAAAGGTCCATTGCATTGCTGTTATTGTGATTTATTGATGTTTAGTTCTTAGTTATTGGATTTCTTTAATATAAAGCACATGCTCTTTCAATGGTATGAAGATAATCTTGAGCTTTCATTATTGCTAACATTGACAGAAATGCTTTATGAAGTGTAATAAACACCTATTTTTAAGAGCTGTGGCATTGCCCTTCTTGTATACATACAGGTCCTCATGTTCTCAAAAGAGTTCAGTTTTTAGATTTTAGTAAACACTATATAAACTCAGTTTCGTTTTGTAAAATATTGCCAAAAGAAAAAATAGCCAAGGTGTTTAGCCCTGACCTGAGGTTACGCTTGGATGTTTTACAGTAACTGGTGATAAAGTTTCTTTTTATTGCGAAAAAAAAATCCTTTTCTGAGTTTTAATACCAGTGGTCTTATTCGGTCATACAGTGAAAAAAGGCATGATAATGTGCTAAGTACAATAACCCATAGAAACCAATGAAATGTCAGTAGCCCAAGGCAAAAGAAGGGAATAGTTGCTGTGGGTTAGCGAACGTGTTCATTACTTGTAAGGGACTACAAGGATTCTGTATATGACTTTACACACATAAACATTTAATACTAAACCTGGGGCCTTCTAAGCATACCCCAGTGACCAATAATTAATTCTTCTAAAATTACACACTGCCAAACCCTGAAATAAAAACACAAGATGCCTAAATTATATCATCCCTACCACATTTCCAAGCAGAACAATACATTTTCTGATCTGGTTAACCCTAACTATCTAATTAACTCTAACTATACTATACTCTGTACGTATATACAGTAGTTCTCCCACAGAAAAAGTTACTCTTTCCAGGTACAGAGAACTTATTTGGCTGTCACTGTGATTATGTGACCTGGAGTTATTTGATTCTCTCCTGGCCATTAGCTTGTTAATCCTGCTCTCTAGCGACAATATGTTCCTAGGGCCAATCTGTGGCCTATGGGCCACATTAGGCCTTTTTCCACTTATTGTGTGGCAGTCTGGGCCCCTGCAAACAGTAGCCTGTTCTTTTTTAAGTTGGGTTGCAGCAGTTAATGGTTTGGTTTATTTATTTCAATTACTTTCATTATTATCTTACTGTGTTTCTGAGCTGTACATCTCTTTACACAGCTTCCTGGATTCCTTTCATGCTTTGCAACTTCTCTGCTGTTTACGTTCTATTTCTATATTTTACCTTCATGCCTACAAGCTGTGATTTCTGTATTGACCCCGCTTCCTGAAACTCCTTTCTTTAGTTGAGAAGGCAGGCTCTATGAAATGTGTGACATAACAGTGTCTACTCACAGGGCATAGTGAATTTGTGTCACAGAATTTAAAGTGTTACTAAACCCGCAACAGTAAAATCAGTCTGTATATGCAGTAAAGCATGCTTATTATACTTCCTGTGGAACCCAAGGGGCTAATCCTTTGCAATGTGTATAAACACTGTTTGATCCTGACTTCTCAGATCCTCCCCTTCTTCCAGTGCCCCCTCTCATCTCCTGATAAGACATATCGTATGGAGTCACTCTCAGGGGCGGACTGACCATTGGAAACTCGGGCACTGCCAGAGGGCCCGGGGTCAGTAGGGGGCCCCCATGAGATGCCCCTGGTACCTTTTTCATAGGCTTTTTTGAGTTTGGGCAAGGACACAGGGGCCCCATTATCCCCTATTGCCCAGGGGCCCCATAAGTTGTCAGTCCGCCCCTGGTCACTCTGCACCTGTTCAGATTGGTGTACATTGCTAGAGAGGTTTTATTTTCTTGGGAGAGTGAATGTGATCAGCACAGGGCCAATCAGCACTGTCCAGGCAGAAGTCAGGGGTCCTGCATCCTCCTAGAGCAGAAAGAAAACTCATCTTACAAGCTTTAACATGTGCTCGGCTGGACAATGATAGAACTCACAAGACTGCTCTGACTGCTGATGAGAAAAGGTATTTAGCAGTTTATATTCACTAACATAATTGCATTTCCATGTTGTGTGTACTGTGGGAGACCAGAAAGAGTGAATGCAGGGTCCTTGGTTTAGTAACACTTTAAGGAAGAAATGTGTGGGGGCAGGGGCGGACTGACCATTTGGAAACTCGGGCACTGCCCGAGGGCTCGGGGTCAGTAGGGGGCCCCATGAGATGCCCCTTGTACCTTTTTTTCATAGGCTTTTTTGAGTTTGGGCAAGGACACAGGGGCACCATGATCCCCTATTGCCCGGGGGCCCCATGAGTTGTCAGTCCGCCCCTGTGTGGGGGTCTTCACAAAGTAAGTTTACAAACTTCAAGATCATTCAAATTAATAGGAGAAGGCAAGAAATAATTGAAATACAATGTGGAAACTAATATATGATTTTACATTTTGACTAGACATGTGCACACAGAAAATTTTAATTTTGTTTTGTTTCAGATGCATTCGTTCATTGTTTCATTATATTCGTTATGTTGACGGGATTTGTCTTTGGAATTCATTTCGTATCTTTGGCTTTCATTTCGTATATTAGTTAGTCCAGGTGGATTTGAAAGATGCAGTTGCAGTTTGTATGGAAGATTGCTATATATTCGATATCGGATGGATTTGAGTCCAACCCACCAAGAGAAAGGCATTAGCAGATTGGACAATATTGAATAACATCATGGGCATCTGAATTAATGAATAGAATGAAATTCGAACCTATTCGTTTTCTGGACCTGAATTATCGAACAAATTTGAAAATTGGATTAATTTCCCCATGGGCATGGACTACTATCTCATCATGTGATGTCATATGAATTAAACTAATACATTTGTTAATTTCTTACAACTTTTTTCGGATTTGATGACATTTGTTTCTATATCCATTCAGAAATTTGTATACATCCGAATCTCCAAAAATGAAGTTTTTATCCAAAAAATGTATTGAAACAAAATGCACATATCTAATTTTGACAATAGATGCAAGACCCTACACTACTCAGCTCACTTTCTGTGAGTCCAGGGTGTGAAGGACCTGCCCTGTGGAAACCCTTCATCAGAGCTCCTTTGATTTATAGAAGAATGCTGTAAAGAGCAGGGGGTATGTAATTATGCGGCACCACTTTATGCAACATTTGGGATCTGCCCGACACCTGGGGAAACTTTGACGCCACATGACGGGACAAAAAAACTGCTATAAAAAAGTTATGTATGTAACACTATTTTGACTGACCTTCAAGAAAAGTGACTAAATCCTGATCTGCATCATTCTCTCAGACCCACTTACTTGGCAATAAATTTTCTAGGCAAATTCTTCTTAAGATAAAATTCTCGTCTCTGGATGTTCAGAATGATGGGCCCACAGTCACTTCACTTTGAGATTTAAAAATGTGTTATTGCATATGTGCATGGAGAAATAGGAAGGAGTGGAGAAAATACAGAATAATTGTAAGTTCTACTGAAAACAAGGTCCTTGGTCCTGCATGTGTCTAAAACCTTTGTTTTTTAAAATTAGATTATATAGTATTTCTGTAGGGCTTCTCTCCCTGGGGTCCCAGAGATTTTTATCTGCTGCTGGGACAGAAAGTGAGACAAGCATCTTGGGCGCACTCGGTAGTGTATCATAGTAAGTCCAATTTTGAACAGGAGTTATAGAAACCCACCAGCATGTTTTTGGATTGTGGGAGCAAACCAGAGTACCCAGTAGAAACCGACGCAAGCACAGGGGGGACATGTAAATAGTGTCCTGATAGGGACTCAAATAGAAGACCCCAATGCCGTAAGGAAGAACCTGCTGAGTCTCTCTCTCATTGGGCTTTACTGGCTGGACTCTTAAACGTCAATGTGGCTACCCCAGTCCAAGTGGTATCTTAATGTTAGAATTCAAGGCAGAACAGGAAAGGTGTCTGTAATGTCCGTCAATCCCCACCTCCATGTGGAAGACGACTGCATTCTCCTTCCTCTGGGCCCAAAAGTAGGACTACATGGCAACCTGTATCCTCAAGGTTTCCTTCCAGGAGGGGAGATCCTTGCAGCTTCTTACATTCTTATTCCTTAAGGCCCAAGTAAAAGACAAATGCTACAGAAGCAACCTCCTAGAGCAAAAGTCCTTGTGCGAGGAAGACCCTTTGCCAGGAAGTGCCTCAGATATTTATTAACACTTCCAGTAAGCATTAACACATCCCAAGCCTGCTAACTGGTCAGGTGGTAAACATCCATGATACAGAATGTTATTTCTAACACACCTTAGAAAACTCCCCAGCAGATCACAAAACAATTTGGAAAAATAATATATTCCTACATATATAAGAATTAAAAAATTGTCAATTGCGTGCATGAATTCCAAGGAACCTGGGGACTGGAATTGGAGAGGGGAAAGCTGAAGTTGGGCTTCAATCTACTCCGCAAAAGAAGTGTCTATTTTCTGCATCCCATGATTTATTCAGCTAATCCCAGACCTGTAGTTTGAGTCAATTCTTTTGGGTGAGTAAATGCAGAGGTTGGATTGAATAACGTAAAAGTTAGAATGAATAAATGCAGCATTGTTTTAGAATGACGGACGCCGTCTTTTGTCAAATGTTACCTCTGGCTCTGTCACAGACAGGGGCGGACTGACAGCTCATGGGACCCCGGGCATAAGGGGATCATGGGGCCCCTATGTCCTTGTCCACACTCAAAAAAGCCTATAAAAAATGTACCAGGGGCATTTCATGAGGCCCCCTACTGACCCCAGGCCCTCGGGCAGTGCCCGAGTGTTCAAATGGTCAGTCTGCCCCTGGTCACAGACGTGCATCTAATGCAGACAGTTGTCAACAACAAAATACCATACTGATCCTTGAAGAATACTGATCGAATAAAACAGAACATACAGTAGATGACATCTTTCTCTTTTGCAGAAAGGCTTCTAGCTTGGCAACATGGTTTTCATTTATGAGTGCTACAGTGATTCATTTAAAACCACAGATTGTAAAATATGTTTCATTTTCAAGTAATAATTTAAGAAGCCTGTTTGAAGCCTGTCATGAGGTTCAGTACAGAGAAGTCATGAATGGTAAAACTGAGGGAAAGGTTATGAGATCCCAGCCGTCATATGTATGTCAGTCTTACGCTTTCTTAAAACCATGTTTCCAGCATCAAAGCACCGTGTTTATAAATGTTGTCAATTTAAGAGCCACTAGACACATCCATTTATTTTTCTTTAATAACTGCTCAATTTAAAAGAACCAGTATGAGCCCAATTCATGTTTTCCACATCTGAAAATTCCATTATTCTAAAAGGGTAGAAAAATGAGAGCTGCCACTGCCAGCTGTTTTTAAAAGGAGCAGGTTCTAGTGCTTCACAACCTCAGACTTTGTAGACTTCACTGGCTGCATGCTTTTTATTGTCTGTTTTTTTTGTCTGTTTTTTTCGTTATCTAATCAGTTTCAATATTATTACTAAAAATGTTGTGCAGAGCAGGAGAGTATAAAACGTTATCTACCCAGGGTGTGAAATATGCCAGGTATGCCATATTAGTTATTATTCTTTTTAAAATATCCTTAACTTCAGTGATCATGCTAATGCACTACAAACTGTAGGTATAATCAATTTTAGCAGGGATTTCATGAGACCTAAAACATATTTTTTTTAAATTCTTTATTTAGAAGGTTTCAGAATTTTAAATAGCACAAAAGACGATAACTTTGTCAGTTGCACATATAAACTCCATCAATCCAGAAAATTATGAACATGGTGTGTAGCTGTGCACTGCAACCAATCAGCTTCTAACTTCAGCTTGTTCACTAAAGCTTTGACAATAAAATCTACAAATTGATTGGTTACTATGCACAACTGCACCAGATTCTGGGTGCACCAATTTTAGTAAATCTTCCCCATACTTCGAAATAAAACCTGTTTTAAGGGTTTTACCAATTTAAAAAGTTTGCGAAAAGCTGCACTAGATTATGAAGCTGGAATTAAAATAATATCCCTAGAGCCTATCTTTTAAAAAAAAGATTAGCAAAGCTATCTCCCATCCCTTTAATTTATGATAGGTATACGCAGAAAAATAATACTTTATATACCTGTACTATTTAACTGAATGCAATTGCCCAAATGAATGTGTTAAATATCTATTCACTGAAGAACCTTATGTAGGAAATAGGTTTTGTGCAGAAGCCTTTCCATTAAAAAAATTTAACTTTTTGGCCCATCCCACCATTACCTTTGGAGGTATACTTTCTCATAGAAACTATTGTTTCCATGCACTGCACTGATGATGGCAAATAAAACTGGAACAGCTGTATGCAGTTTGGAATAGCTGGCTTTATAACATTAAGGTGTATTAGTATGATCCATTCCTTTTGGAAGTAAAGTTGGCAAAAAAAAAGCATAATGGAATGGTATGCATGACCCTAGTATCCTAAATTAAAATCAAACTAAACACATCAATTTAACAGTTTAAAAAAAACAACGGAATGTGCCAGGACTGTAACTATAACATTTGCTTGTGCTTTCAACCAAACTGTCAAACCATCAAATGGCTGGAAACATAACTGATCACATGTGCAGCATCATGACAGCTGCAGATTAAACATAGGCTAAAATGGCAGCTTCCATGGCTGAAAACGATAGGAGGGATTAGTTCCACTCTAACCAGTTCCTGCTCAGCCTATAGTACAGTGCTCAAAAAATTTAAAAGAACACTTTGAAAACACATCAGATCTCAATGCGGAAAAATATCATGCTGGATATCTATACTGATATGGACTGGGTAATGTGTTTACCTCTACCCCCTCCCTCCTAGATTGTAAGCTCGAAAGAGTAGGGCCCTCTTACCCCTTGTGTGCTGTTTGATGTTACTGTACTGTTTCATGTATTGTCCCCCCCTCTATTGTACAGCGCTGAGCAAACCCTTTGGCGCTATATAAACTCGATAAATAAATAAATAAATGTGTTAGGAATGTGAGGATGCCCCATTGTTTGATGGAAATGAAAATTATCAACCTACAAAAGGACTGAATTCCAAGTCACCCTGAAAATCATAGTGAAAAAATGATACAGCAGGCTAATCCATTTTGCTGAAATTTTCATTGCAGCAACTCACAATGGTACTCAGTAGTGTGTATGGCCCTACGTGGTTGTATGCATGCCTGACAATGTCAGAGCATACTCCTTATGAGACGACGGATGGTGTCCTGGGGTATTTCCTCCTAGATCTGGACCAGGGCATCACTGAGCTCCTGGACAGTCTGAAATGCAACTTGGCAGCGTTGGATGGACCGAAACATGATATCCTAGAGGCGTTCTATTGGATTTAGGTCAGGAGAGCATGGAGGCCATTCAATGGTATCAATTCCTTCATCCTCCAGAAACTGCCTGCATACTCTTGCCACATGAGGCCGGGCATTGTCATGCACCAGGAGGAACCCAGGACCCACTGCACCAGCGTAGGGTCTGACAATGGGTCCAAGGATTTCATCCCGATACATAATGGCAGTCAGGGTACCATTATCTAGCCTGTAGAGATCTGTGCTTCCCTGCGTAGATATGCCTCCCCAGACCATCACTGACCCACCACCAAAATGGTCATGCTAAACAATGTAACAGGCAGCATAGCATTCTCCACAGCTTCTCCAGACCCTTTCACATATGTCACATGTGCTCTGCTCTCATATGTGAAAAGCACAGGGCGCCAGTAGCAGACCTGCCAATTATGGTGTTCAATGGCAATTGCCAGTCGAGCTCTATGGTGCTTGGCAGTGAGGCCCTCAGGACACCCTCTAGTCTGTTATTGATTGTTTTGTCAGAGACATTCACACCAGTGGCCTACTGGAAGTCATTTTGTAGGGCTCTGGCAGTGCTCATCCTGTTGCTCCTTGCACAAAGGAGCAGATACCGGTCCTGCTGATGGGTTAAGGACCTTCTTTGGCCCTGCCCAACTCTCCTACAGTAACTGCCCATCTCCTGGAATCTCCTCCATACTCTTGAGATTGTGCTGGGAGACACAGCAAACCTTCTGGCAATGGCACGTCTTGATGTGCCATCCTGGAGGAGTTGGACTACCTGTGCAACCTCTGTAGGGTCCAGGTATCGCCTCATGCTACCAGTAGTGACACTGACCCTAGCCAAATGCAAAACTAGTGAAATATAGTCAGAATAGATGAGTAGGGGCAAAAAAAATATCAGTGGCCGCCACCTGTAAAACCATTCCTGTTGTGGGGGTCGTCTCTTTGTTGACCATCTAGTGCACTTTTTGTTAATTTCATTAACACCAAAGCAGCTGAAACTGATCAACAACCCTCTCTGCTACATAACTGTCCAGATCAATATCCCAGGAGTTTAATTTGATGCTATACTTTGATTAAAAAGTGTTCCTTTTGAGCATTGTACAATGATTGCTGGGCGGGACTTTTGTCAATCCAGGTGTATGTCCTCCTAGAACATCACGCACGACTGCAGGGCCTCGCTGCAGTTATATCTGTCACCGGCTGTGTCCATCGGCCAATGAATGATCTGTGTACCAGCCCATTGCCAGTGCCATGTGACCAATCACAGCAGGTCACATGAAAATTGTAAACAATGGATGGCTTCTTTTCTTGCTATCCATTGTATACAATTGTGTTGCTAGCTGTGATTGGTCACAGTGATCACATGGTACAGACTGGGCCACTCACAGCCCATCTGTGTCATGTGATTATTTGTGGCAAATCACAGCTTATCAAAACAAAACTAACTGAATGAATCGATTTCATCCAGTAAAATGCTTGTTTATAGCAATTAACTTCATTGCTATAAGCAATCATAATGTGTAAAAAGAAAATACTGATCATTTTCCCAGAGTATTATTTAATTATTTGATTTTTGCACTGTCGCAAGTCAGTGTCCCTGATCACACTAATTACATGATGATGCTGTACTGAACTGGTTACAGTATATGTGTGTGTGTGTGTGTGTGTGTGTGTGTGTGTGTGAATTTTTCTGTTTTTGCTTCCTTCATTTTCAAAATAATTATGGCAAAAAATACAACTTAAAAAAACTCATCATGCTTCTTACTAAATACCTCAGACTGTCTACTTTCCAAAAAGGGGTACTTTTGGGGATATCTGTTCTGTTCTGGCATTTTTGGGCCTCACGAAATGAGTTCAGCTGTGAGTGCAGCAGGATTGATCAATTTTCCGAAAAATAGCATAGTCCTACAGACTAAATAATATACACTGATTTGGGTTATTTTCAACAAATAAATGTAGCAGAATACATTTTAGCCTAAATTTTTGAAGAACGATTATTATATTATTATTATACAGGATTTATATAGCACCAACAGTTTGCGTAGTGCATTACAAAATGAAGGTAGACATTACAGTTACAATACAATTTGGTACAAGAGGAAACAGAGGGCCCTGCTCGTTAGAGCTTACAATCTAGGAGGAAGGGCTGAGTGATACAAAAGGTACAGTGGATATAAAAAGTCTACACACCCCTGTTAAAATGTCAGGTTTATGTGATGTAAAAAAATTAGACAAAGATAAATCATTTCGGAACTTTTGCCACCTTTAATGTGACCTATAAACTGTACAACTCAATTGAAAAGCAAACTGAAATCTTTTAGGGGGAAGTAAACATAAAATACTAAAATAATGTGGTTGCATAAGTGTGCACACCCTCTTATAACTGGGGATGTAGCTGTGTTCAGAATTAAGCAATCACATTCAAAATCATGTTAAATAGGAGTCAGTACACACCTGCCATCATTTAAAGTGCCTCTGATTAACCCCAAATAAAGTTCAGCTGTTCTAGTAGGTCTTTCCTGACATCTTCTTAGTCGC